GTAAACCTCATGGGAGATGGCACATCTCTCACCCACAGAGCAGCTGGTGGATTCAAACGGCATGCCTTTGGGATTGGAGCTCGGCTTCTTACCACTAGGCCACCTGAGCCCCCTAAGAAGCATCATTAGGCCTCCAAAAAGATAGTTGTTGCTGTTGTTGAGTACCCTCTAGTTGGAACCAACTAAATAGCTGATCCGCCAGCCGATTTTCAGAGGCAGTAAATTGCAGAGGAGGAGATTACCCATACTACTACTGCAGAGCAGTTGGTGGCTTTGAACCACATACCTTTGGATTGGCAGCACAAATCCTAACCACTGAGCAACCAGAGTTGACATGATTCATTATAGTTAACAAAATAAAGGAGAAAAAAAATTATATACCACGTAACCATTTGTCAAGATTTAGCAATCCTTCATGATGAAATAAAAATCTTCAGTAAATGAAGACTCTCAAGCATCTTCTTCAACCTAGTAAAAGACATCTAGGAAAAGTCTGTAGTTAATTTCAAGTGTAAACCGTGAAAGACTTAGCACTTGCCCTTAAGATAGAGAAAGCAAGGCTCTCGTTACTTCTGCTGAAGGTCCAAGGTGTGCATGAAAAGAAGAAAAACAAGAGGCAGGCAGATTGCAAAAGAAGAAGAAGAAGAAAAAAACTAGGAAAATTGCACTTGCAGATGATATGATCACATATGCAGAAAAAGATAACATCTAAAATGGCTACTCAAACTATTAAGTGAATTTAACAAAGGTACAGAATCCAATTGTACTAGCAAAAAGAAGACAACAAAGCAATGTTGTCCACCTACTGCAGTCAGTCACTTCTTGCTCCTGGGGACCCTTTATTACATTTTCAAGGTTATAAGAAAGACTGCCTATCTTTCTCTCTCAGGATGTCTGGTGGATTCAAACTGTGGACCCTTTGCTTTGCAGCCTGATACATTATGCAGTACCTTTACTTCATAGTACAAAAGTGTAAAATACTTAGGGATAAAGCTTGAAAAACATTTGCTAGATCTATACACATAAAACGACAGTGTTGCTATGAGAAATCAGAGAAGAATTAACCTTTAAGCTGTAGTCATGTCATTTTTTATAAGATCAGCTATCCCCAAAGAAATATCTTGATTCAGTACAGCCTCAATCAGAATTCTGGCAGGATTTTTGTTTTATTATGAATTGAGGGAAAGTTTACAAAATTAGTTGGTTTTACATTCAATCATTCATATACATTTTTGTTGATATTTTATCCTCATTTTAACAAAAATGTACAGAAAGGTTGAATTTTCATTCATTCACTGATGTGAATTTTCTCCCTCTCCCATCATCCTCCTCCTATTCACTTTGTAATGCACTCCTTGTCCCAGACTGTTAACTCTCACACTTACAATGCTGAATAATACATTCCTTTCAGACAGTCCTTCTCCTTATCCATCCCAGTGCATTGTTCGTTATCTATCCAACTCTTTCCTGTTTCCCCCACACCGTGTCAATCCTATTTTGTAAGAGCAGTCAACACACACCATGTAACCAGACTTCCCAATTCCTCCTTGTGATTCTTGTTTTCATCACTCCTTCTATTTTACTTCTTCCTACTTTCTGAGCTTTATCTCTGGGCAAATGCTCTTTTGAGCTTATGTAATTGTTTACGACCCTGCTGATACTTGTAATACTGAAAGCTTAAAATAGCAAAGCAAAACACAGACCAGCCCATTACAACAAATTGATAGGGATCAATGGGAAAGGGTTTTTTTTGTTTTTTTCATTTCGCTGTGCAGGGAGCATGGTGGCTTAGTGGAGGGTAGTTGTAGTTCGAATCCAGACACTGCTCCATGAAAGAAAGATGAGCAGCCTCTTTCCTTGTCATTTACTGCTTCTGAAAACTTACTGGAGGGTCAGCTCTGTATCATTTCTGACTCAACAGCTCATAACAACACCAGTCTGCATGGGAATGCAAACAAATGCTATTTTAATATGTTTAACAAAAATCCTTGACTTCTCTATTGAAAGGGAAAATGCAGTCATCTGTATTCTAGCTTGCTTTGAGGCAATAACATTGACAGTTAGTATAATAAAGAGTTAAAGTAACTAGCAAAAAATCTGCTTCATAAGGGCAATTAACTTGAATTCTCTGTACATGTGAAGTCTGTGGTGGAATGATTGGTTCAAAATTGTGGATGATTCCAAAATCATTGAGTGTACGTGGAACATTTTTTTTTCTACATGTCCTGATCATAGTCAACCTTAAGCTAGTATTGGATTCACCTTTGTCCCCTATTTTTGCTTATTATTCATTAATCAGTAGTGGGAATGGTTGATCCAGAAGCAGGTTGAATTATGGTGGCTTCTTGTCTGATTGTAAAGTTCTATGTCCAATCTATAGCTACCTGTTGTAATTATCATGTAATGTATTTTATTGAACCATAAAATTCACAACATCCTAGATTTTAAGCTTGAACTTTCTCCCAGGCCAACATTATTTATACACACCACAACTGCCATAGTTGGAAGAGAACTTTTGGAACTAATCTGGTTGCTGACCTTGAACTATAACCACCTGGTGTTTTATTAAAATTGGCATTCTTTTTTATGATAAAATATCAGGATGATTTATGTTGTTGTTGAATAAAGTACAGCTCATAGCAACCTTATTAACATAATAAACTCTGAATCCTGTCCTATGGTATTTTAGCCTCATCATCTCTGAGATGTTTGAACCCATTGCTGCAGTCACTGTAACAACCCATATTGTTGTGGGTCTTCCTCTCTTTAGCTGACCCTCAAAATTCCAAGCAGGGTCAAGGACTGCAGCCTCCAATATGGATTGAGGCTCAATGTCAAGAAGACAAAGATTCTCACCACTGGGCCAATTGGCAGCATCAGGATGTTGAGAGATTGAGATTGTTGACAGCTTTAGTCTGCTTGACTCCACAGTCAACACTCTTGGCACCAGCAGCCAGGAAGTTAAAAGAAGTATTGCCATGGGAAAGTCTGCTATTAGGGACCTCTCCAATGTACTGAAGAGCCATGGTGTCTATCTGGAGACTAAGTTGCATCTAATACAGGCCATGGTCTTTGCAATCACTTGTTATACATCAGAGATTTGGATAATGACTAAGGAGGATAGAAGGAGAATTGATGCCTTTGAGCTGTGGTGCTGGAGGAGAGTATTGAGAATACCATGGACTTCTAGGAAAACAAACAGATTCATCCTGGAAAGGGTCAAACCGGATGGCTCCCTGGAGGCAAGGATTCTGAGGCTCCATCTAACATACTTTGGACATGTTGTGAGGAGAGACTGGTCCTTGGAGAGGGACATCATGCTTGGGAGGGTGGAGGGACAGCGCAGGAGGGGAAGGCCCTCTATGAGGTGGATTGATTCAGTGACTGGGGTAATCGGGATGGGAGTGTCAGAGACAGTGCGATTGGCACAGGATAGAGCAGAGTTTAGGGCTGTTGTACATAGGGTCGCTATGAGTCACAAGCAAGTTGACGGCACATAACGACAACAACAATATCCCTTTCCAAGGAATAGCCTTTCCTAGTGACTTGTCCAAAGTATGAGAGACAAAGCTTTCATCTTTGCCATCCAGCACTCTGGCTACACCTTTGCCAGACATAACTCTTCATTCTTTTGGCAGCCCATGACTATTCAGTTCAATCCTCCATCATCAAAACTCCATGGCATACGTTCTTCTTTATCATCCTTATTCATTGTTCAGCTGTCAGAAGTATCGCAAGTGATTGAAAAGACCATGGCCTGAATCACGCACACCTTTGTCTTCAAACGACGTCATTATTCTTCCGTATTTTGAAGAGGACCCTTTGGAGAGGGATGATTTATAGTGATAAGAAATCAAGGAAAAGTTATTTCTGTTTTTAGTGTTTTGGGTACATTTTTTCCATTTTCTAGTGCTTTATTATTTCGAGATCCTGCATAGTTCATTGTTACAGTCACTGTATCAATTCATCTTGTTGAGAGTCTTCTTCTCTTTCTCTGACCAGAAGACTATGAGGATGGCCCAGACAGAGCAGGGTTCCAATTGCTTGTTTAGAGTTGCTGTCACTTGCAGCCAAGTTGCAGGTACCTCACAACACAATCTTACACATAGCTCCATCTCTCCACTGAGGATGATTCTCTTCTGTGCTGTGTTCACTAACATTTACAAAGGCAGTGCTTTTTTCTCCTGAATTTTATGCTGAAGATTAAGACTTTGGGCCACCCTTTCTTTATTTTCTCTGAACTTTTCACCCTGTTCACCATTAGCTTGAAGAAATACAAGATAATAAATTGAGTCCTCTGCTCTGTTTTGATGATTACGTTACTGATGGGCCAGAACAAACCTCTGGTATTCAAATGACCCTATCAGTTCTTCCAGGAGAATTAGGGATCTGCTTTGACGTCCATATCCTGTGCTGCTCAGTATAGCAAAAGCCCTGGCTTCGGCTCTATAAATGAATCCATTTGCTGGAAATGTGACTTCTGGATCTTTTGTAGCAGTCATTTCAATGCTGTTAGTGGGGAATTGGAAACTTGAGAATGCAAAGATTAATCTAAACCACATGATGGACTCAAGGAAAAGGGACATACCCTTCAGTTTCTCGAATGTGTTCTAACACTGAGCAGCAGAGAACGGGCTCAGGAAAAAAACCACAAGTGAACTTTTCAACCCTCCTGAGAGGAATCAAACTGGTGCAATTAGCTCTACACTGGAGCCACTCCACATGGCAAGCCTCTTCTTTCTTCCTTGGGAACAGCTAAATCTCTTTGCCCAAGAAAGAGAAGACAATTGGGAAATCAAAGAAAGAGGCGAGATGGCCCAATTGCTACCAACAATGAAATGAAACTACACCCATCTTTCCATTCATTAGCTAGCTTTCTGACTCACCTTTTTATTACAGATTCCAACTTCTGTTGAATTCTTAACGGTAGACAAGACAGTGATGTTTCACATGCTCGATTATTGATGCATGGAATGTAAGTTGTGTCTTTTCTCTTTCAGTTTGTGGTGGCAGTGTTCTGGATCATCTACGCCTATGACAGAGAGCTGATTTACCCGAAGCTGCTGGATAATTTTATCCCGGGGTGGCTGAATCATGGAATGGTGAGTGGACACAAAAGAAATGATTCTCTTTTATTCAAAAGATCTACTGAAGAACTTTTTTTTTTTAATTCAAGCTTTCCATAGAATCGATTTAGGTATGAAAAGTTGCAAGATTATCACACAAAAAATATAATTATAGAAGAACACTGTGTGTAAATAAAAAAACATCCCTTCTGGAATTGTGTCATTATTAAGGTTATATAGTAGGTGAATCTGTGTTTTCTAAAAAGGCTCAGTGGTGTGAGTTTAATATCACTAGCTCATTTCAAAGATAAATTTAATATGCTGTCAAAAGATTTGGCCCTTTTCAGAGGCTAAGGGTTGACTCTCAACTATAGAACTATCAACACCTTACTTTGCCTCCACCATACTTCATGGAATTTTGTTGAAAATAACTGTTGTACTTGACAGTCCTCTCCAGCTCCCCACCCCCCAAGGAACAGAAAACTTATTATTTTGCCTAAAGCATTTCTTCTTTTTTTAGGGGTGGGTGGGAAAGGTAGGGGTCTTTGGCAGTGAAGCTGTTTGCCTTGTCCTGTTCTTGCCATCGAAGAGTGTTTATGGCTGCAAGATGTCTTGCTTTTCATTCTCTTTCTGATGCTATTTTGCATGGTGTTACTGTCACTAACTTCAAATAAAACACTTTGCATCATGTGCACATCACTACACACGAATTGAGAGTACATGCTCTGCAGGGAAATGCTGTGACCTCGTCCCTTTCCACTTTTGGAGTTGAGCATTGTGTTGTTATTAGCTAAGAAGTCTACTTTTTAGTTACAGCAATTTTTAGAATATGTCACAGGGTGTTCCTGGTGAAAAGGGCAACCCATCACAGAAATTATAGGGGAACAACGAGCTGGAGATCACAAGTGTTGGGCCCAAAATAAGTTTCCCTTCTGCCCTCAATTTTGGTGTATTTTAAGGAAAGTGGTTTGTATTAACAAACTAGCATTACTGAGAGGCTTTCAACAATCCTTCCTTAAACCAGGTCTCCATCAGTGGCCTATTGAGAAAAGTAGGATTTTCTTTTATTGTGGTTAACGCCACCATGATAAGCGTGAACATGAGTGGAATCTCTGGCCTCACTGCCTTCTAGTGGTCCTGACTCATGACTCATAGCTACTCTCCATCTGGTTTCCTCAGTTGTAAATCATGGTGACAGGAGACTGTGCATCTTTCTCTCTCAGAGCTGCTGGAGGATTCAAACTGTGGAAATGCCCGGCCTTTGGTTTTACTTTGGTTTTATTTGCTACAGATGATGATACCAGAAGTTGAGTCTAGTCTGTTCAAGTGAATTATCAAAGAGGACTGATGTGGTTGCTAGACTAATCTCTAGCTTTTTATTTTCTTGAATGTCAAAAGGCCTTGTATAAGGATGTGAATGTGTAGTTTTCTGTACTGTACGCTCTTCCCCAACTCTTACCATGAAATCCCAGCTTGTATGTGTGGCTGTTCTTTGTTGTCATCGAGCCTCTGGCCCCTAGAGACTCCCTGCACAATACAGTAAAACACTCTTTGGTCCTCTGCCTTCCCCGTTATTGGTTGTGGTATAGACCATCGTGACCCATAGGCTTTTCATTGGCTGGTATTAGGAAGTAGATTCCCAGGTTATTCTTTCTCATGTGGACTCTCTGCTGAGACATATTCACTGTAATGGTAACATATACTCTCCATGGGCTGATATGTTGAACCCTGGTCTCCAGAATAGGAGATAAGGATCCCACCACTTAACCACCACCACAAATATGTCTTGGGAGAGGTGCACACAGAGTGCTCCTTGGACGCAAAGATGGCGAAGCTTCCTATCTCATACTTTGGACATGTTGTAGAGAGAGGCTATTCCTTGGAAAGGGACATCATGCTTGGAAAAGTAGAGGATCAGGTAAAGAGAGGACACTCAACAACATGGATTAACACAGTGACTGCAGCTGTGGGCTCAAATATGTCAGGGATGAGAGGATGGGACAGGATAGGACAGGGATCAGATATGTTGTTCGTAGGGTCGCTGTGAGTCATTCTCCGTTCAACACCACCAATACCCTCTTACTAGAAACTGTGCAGTTAATGCTGACACATGTGGGCCAGTCATACTGTGCTCCATATGGTTTCCAGAGGCTGATTTTCAGAAGCACATATCCAGGTATTTTTCCCAAGGTGCCTTTGAGTGGATTCCATTTGTCAGTCTTCCAGTTAGCACCTGAGTATAGTAATAGTTCGTAACGTCCAGGGGCTCCACTCCCCGTCAAAGTTAGCTTGATTGCTACCTTCCGTAAGAAGTCTTTTCTAACGCTCTCAAGCAAAGTTCATTACCTATTACGTTATTTGTGCTTGCAAAGGACATCTTTTTTGTCTCTATTATACATTACACCTCTGCTGCCTATAAGAACACTAAGCTCTTGGTGTGAAAAAAAAATCCAACTTTTGTATCCCCCAGCACTTTGTTCAGTTGCTGGCTATGTAGTAGAATCAGTATCTGTCTTATCATTATTAAGTAGATGAGTGAATTCAGGACAGCTAATTTTCCCAATTCTTTGCCAGTCAATACTAATAGCTACTCTTACTGAGAATCTACTATGTTCCAGACAGTCTACAATTGTTGTATCATTTAATTTTTATAATGGCACCATGAACAAAGAATCGTTATCCATTTGCTGATCAAGAAACTGAAGCTTGGAACGAGTATACAGTGGGCCCAAATCACTTAGCTCAGGGTAGTAGTACTGGAAACCTTAATCTATGTCTATCTGAACTCAATGTGTGCTTTTCCTATTACTTTAGATTTTATTTGACTAAACAAAGAATTAGAGTGCTCTGGTGGCCTAGTGGGTAAAAAAAAATGTGCTGCCAACTCAGAGGGACACAGTTCAGATCTAGCAGCTGATCTGAAAGATGGGACAGTCTCCTCTTATGCAATTTACAGCCTCTGAAAACCTGCTGGAGGGCCAGCTATGAGTCAGTTCTGACTGGACAGCAATGAGTTGAGTTAAAACAAAGTTGTTGTTGTTGTTAGGTGCTACTGAGTCGAGTATGAATCATAGTGAGCCTATGAACAGTCAACCTGAACCTTTCCTTATCCTGCGCTGTCTTTATCACCTCTGATGTACTAGAACGTATTGCTGAAGTCATCATGTCAATCCATCCCATTGTGAGTCTTCCTCTTCTTTCCTGACTCTCTATCTTTCCAAGTATGATTTCCCTTTCCAGGGAATGGCATTTCCAAGCTACAAGTGCAGAATAAGAAAGATGAAACGTTACCATCTTTGCCTCTAAGAAGCACTCTGGTTGCACTTTTTCCAAGATATATCTGTTTGTTCTTTTGTTTGTCTATAGGATATTCACAACTCTTCTCCAACACTACAACTCAAAGACATCAATTCTTCTTCTGTAATCTTTATACATTGTTGAGCTTTCTGATGCATATTGAGAAGACTGTGATGTGAATCAGGGGCACCGTAGTCTTCAAACTGACATCATTGTTCTTCAGGATTTTGGAAAGAACCCTCACAGCAGATTTTCCCAAATGTAATATGTCTCCTGATTTCCTGACTGTTGGTACCAATGGTGTTGATTGTTGATCCAAGCAAGGTGAAGTCATTGACAGCTTCCATCCTTTCTCCATATATCATAATGTTGACTGTTAGTCCTGTAGGGAGGACCTTTGTTTTCTTGATGTTGAGTTGTAACTCAACATACTGAAGGCTGCAGTTCTTGATATTCTGCAGCAAGCATTTCATAAACTCTTCATTTTCAGAAAACAAATGTGTGCCACCTGTATTAATTGACTGTCCATATAAATTGTAATTTTGTATAGTTTCTATAACCACAAGCTGAGTAAATACAGAAAGGGAGCCCTACAGGTGGAGTATATATATAGGGTGAGCTCTTACATGTTTTTGGCTGTTTGAATCTACCAGCAACCATGCAAGATAAAGATGGGAAGTCTCCTCTCATAAAGATTTACAGAAATCCAATAAAGCATGGCTCTGAGTCAGAGCCTACTCAAGAGCAGTGAGTGAATGAGAAAATGCATAAGACACATCTCTAGCATATTGAGATGCATAATTTTAAACTACACAGTATACTCCAGCAATCTGAGATAAAATAGTAAGTAGTGTTTTAAGAAAATGATTTCAGGACATTCATGACCTGAAAAGAGAGTAGGAAATGGAGATGGGCTTTGCACAGGGCCATCCCAGATGTTAAACAAAGAAGAAAAAAGTGTTGGATTTACAGCGAAGAGAAACATATTTTTATACAAAAGTCATCCTCTGTGGCATTATCTCAAAATAGGAGGAAGAGTGATGTTGAAGTTGAATAGGGAATGATGGAAAATACATTTGCTTTTTTTTTTTACGTGAGAAGGGGATCAAGTGAGAAGAAATTACTGTATCATGTGCGATTGAAGTATCAAATTCCCTGATATGGAATCAGAATTAACTTATATCCTCCATTGTATTTTTGAAGCTGTAAATCACATGGTAGAAGATTGCCCTTTTTTCTGCATGGAGCCGGATTTGAACTGCCTGAGAGGCACTGCCTTTAAGTTAGGAGCGCAGATGCCTCCTGCTGCATCACCAGAGTTTTCTTATTGAAGCATGAATGGTCTTTGACTGCGCCACTTTCCAAAACGGTCAGATTACCATCAGGATGGAGAACAAATTGCAACCTTGTCAGGTCCTGGTTTTCAACTTGCAATATTTAGAACAAATGGCTTATTAAGCATATATGCAGCCCTTAGAACTCAAACTTGAGTCCACTTTCATAGTTTTCCCTACTTTCACTTAAATGGGTTAAAGCCATCACTCTTGGAAACAAACACTGCTTAGAAATTCAAGAAGGATTAAAATGACACAGCTACTTAGGTGAGAGAGAACACAAATAAATTAAGATGTCAAGTCTGCCCAGATAATATCAACTCGACAAATTCTTTCATGATGAACTTGATTTCCTAGTTGAGCTTAAAGTGTTGTTCCTTGTTTTTTTCACGTTCCAAATCATAG